TCTGTCCGTTGACGACGGGAAGCGTTTCTTTTCTGCACTGCGATGCTCGCTTTGTTGTCAACTTCAGCGGGATGATGCGAAACTTATCCACGAATAAATGCCAGCCTTCGTCTTCGTGAAACGGAGACTCTTCTGGATTCCCGGCGAATATTAAAACGGTTGCAGGTTTTATTTTCCGAAAAACGAGCTGGATAGTTGAAAATCCCGGTACATAAAGAGACGAAGGAGGCGGAATTAAACGCTCGGTCCGCCCGCCTGCAAAAGACGGAACTTTTCCTAAGATTAGGGAATCTTTGATGAAGAAGGTGGGCTTGGAAGTCGAATGATGAAAGAAGCTGAGCTGGAGAGGAATTGTGAAAAATGCTGAAAAGGATGAGTCAAGCGTTCCTTTCAGAACTGAGAGCTGCGAATGAGCAATATCAAGAATTAAATGAACTGCTGGCAGGATATATCGGATGTCCAATACAACCTCTAAACAAAGGATGCAAGATTAATGGGAAAAATGTCGACAATTGCTTGTGAAAATCGCCGAAAGCGCGAAGCAGTCTATAGCGGTTTGCATATGGGTCTGTAGCTTAAACCGCTGGAACGTTTTTCACAAGCCAAAGAGTCCAGTGGCTGCTCATCCCCAGCTACAAACTGCGTATGCGCAAGCCTAGCAAACACACCTAAGTTTGTTTCTTTGGTTGCATCACCACTGAAGCCATAGCGAATCTGATCGAGTTCTTAGAGTTACGTGACTGTCGGTCACAAAGCCGTGATCCAGCGCAGCCTATTCGCCCAATTCCACCACGTCTGTGTGCACGTGCCTTTGCTGCTTCTTTGAACGTCTTTTACAGTAAATCAGGCAACTCGGTTGGTCAAGATCATGACGCTGCTGATGCTTAGAGGTCATTTTGCGCAGGTGGCATTAAATAGCAAACCAAATAAACATTATTCAATAAGTGCGTTAGCGTCAGTTACCAGCTATAACACTTGTCAAAAGACTGCCAACACTCTTAAATGCAACCAGATGAGGCGAGCTATGGGGTTGCCCTAGGCAACCTCGTGCAGTCAGGGCTCTGGGCCATTAAAGGGGCAAGCTAAGTGTGTCGTCACATTAAAAGCTAACAAATCGCAGATGGCGAGGTAAAGGGGACAAAGGCTCGACCTGTAATTCGGCAAAACTGGGCACGAGCCCAAGAACGTGCGCATGAATTAGTCTGGCAGGAATAGATGTCAGCTAGTGCCTGGCCAAATGCAATCGATCCGGCCCCATGCGGCCGGCTTGCAGTATTGTTCAGCGCGGAAAAACTTACCCTGAAGTCCCAATTGACTATAAATATGGCGCTTGAAGCAACGACTATGCACTGAATTAGACACACACTGGGTAAGATGTGAAGGACGCATGCAGCGCGTTTCGCATCGAATGCATTCTGAACTTCCCGCAATTGAATTCCCCGCAAACCGTTCGCAGTGCGGTAACAATAATATGAGACGTGAACGTGAGTCATTCCCCGTTTCCATACTGTTGAACTGAGTCACTACCATAACGGCTTTCATCAAAAAACGAAGGCCTCAACGTGGGGTCTCTTCTCTGCATCCCATAGCGATTGCTATATGGAAGTGCAGCTCAGGACAGTAACTCACTTGCACGAACAGAATGAGCTTTAAAAATGGTTGCGTAAATGGCAATAGAGACAAAAACCGCGGTGAAGAGGAGGCCTGCTCGGCCGTTACTTTCACTCCATGGATGGTTCTAATTCTAAACAATGTGTCGGGGTTCATGTCTAAAACGCAATTTTTTGCTTCTACGCTGTGACTGACTTTGATCGCAGCAAAACAATAAGCAGGAAAAAAGGCATGCGCCCACTGAAAAGGACTGAACGACAGTTTTCCTGCTGCATGAAAAACGTGAGACTCGCGGTGATAGGATCGGGGACGGCGGTCACCCGGGTCTGGTCAGCTAATCCAGCCGGCCGCATGTGCAGAGTCCTCAAAAACCGCTCCGCCTATCGCTCGATCTTGGTCACGAGTATTTTTCAGAGTGCACAAGTGCGGTGACCATCACTGGTAAGACAGGAAAAATGACGCCAGATCGCAGTCTTGATTCATTTGGGCGTGTGTGAATTTTTCAGGGTAGAGATAGAGCGAGGGGCCCACTGGGTCTCGATCGATCTTGTGACACTCGACGAGGCTGCCGTCCAGCTTGCTCCAAAAGAAGCTACCAGCGAGTTACCTCGTTTTTCTAGCGTTGAGTATGCGCCAAATAAGCTTCAGTGCCATGTTTAGCAACGACTTAAACTTGTTTCTTCGCAATTTTTCGAAGAGAGTCACACACAGCAGGAATACGTCACTTTCACTTATACAAATAGGCGCTTGGAGGTCACGGGCACCTCCGTATAGAGGAGCAAGCTGTCAAAACTTTTTAACTCATACACATGGTATGCGATTTCATTGGCGTTTTAGTAAACGTTGGGACGTATCCCCAATCGGCTAATTTACCATGTGTGCTCCTGGTCATATTCATATCGCTCAGATAGCTGGCGTTCGACAAAAATGAACAACTCTGCATTTGCTGACAGGAAGACGGGGAGCCACACAACCATGGGTGAAGCTTTGCATACCCTTGAAGAGGGTCTGTCCTTCCAAAACATCGTCCCCGCCTCGCCTTGTTTCATCGATATTGTCCCAATGTTGTGTCCTTGGTTCATTGATCCCCAATCACTTGGCCGAGGAGACTAAAAAACAGTAGATCCTTGATGGGTTTGTAAAATCGTTACCGTTTCCCCAGACGAACTTTACGATGCTCCGTTCGCGATTGCACAATAATACCAACACAACAACGTAACAGATGTCGATTGTTGGCATGTTGGCTTCGCGGGGCGTTCCCGCACAACTATTGTAAGTTCGAAGGCATTGCATGAACTGTAAATACAAAGATGCGCGCTACCATAAGAAACATTCGCTGCAACAATGGTGGCAAAAGAGTGCCACTGAACTGAGGGTTGGTAATCAGCGGAAAGCTACATGACCTTTGGTGCAGAAGCGCAGTCAGGGTTCTTATCCCTTCCCCCACCTCTGAGCCCCTATTTTTTACTTCATCACCACAGAATGTTCCTTCGGTGCTCATGTAATGAGTTACCCCTGAACTTCATATCCCTCCGCCTTTTAAGAAAGCCTGATTTGGCCCTGCTTTGATAGCTTCTTAGCAGTTTAGTCATACGTGCTTAATAAGGAGTGGGAACAAAACCTAACCGTTACTTTAAGGACGTAGCTGTTCATATTTTTTCGTGCTTTACAGATATGAAGGTGACCCTGCGCATCGTCCTGGAGCAGGTCGATTGATTACTAGATACCTTAATTACAAAGGAATTAACGCTTGCAAAAAGCTACATATGGTGGAGAACGAAAACGGGAGGCTGGGTAAAAGTTTTGAAAATGTTGTGATGCTGAGTGAATCTGACTGTTCTAAATAATAGAGCGGTGATATATTGTAGAACAGCATCCTTCCTTGCGGATTTTGTAGTGAGAGCTCTGGGACTACCTTCTACAGATGGGCAAGGGAAATACATCATCAAATGAGTGTCAGCATCCACCTGCACGAAAGGCTAATAGGTATGTTCACAATCGGCCGTCCCGATCTACCCAGATCGCACCAGTAATGTAACTCTCCAGACATATATGTCACCTGGCTAGAAGATTTGCATATCTCATACCCTGTTTGAGAAGATTATGGTCAGCACCTCCATAGTTAACATGCATCTACACAATCAGAGAAAACCATCATTATGAGTTCATTATTTCAACCCTCAACGTGACCGTTTCTGAAGACGTACGGCGCAAACGAAATATCCGTCGACTGAACGCAGCTGAATACAACATAGCGATGGTTCAATTCCTAGTATTATGAGAGATTTAAAAGAACATGAATAGATGGTATGAAAGACTATTTTCTCTGTTACTTGCAATACTTATCTTACAAACTCTCACGAATAGCAAAATAAACCACCGCCAACAGAGCAGTTGCTGATGGAACATGCTTCCGTTTCCCCACACACCTTTGCATTCAGCGAAGTGGAGCGCGGGGTTATTCAGAGAAAGCATAACGGAACAGTGCTGCTTATCCCTGTGCTCCACGATATGATTTCGGTGAATGTTACCAAAACTTGCCTGAAACGATAACCGCGATAGCAGAGGTCATCAGGCACGGTTAATAATTGCAGTCAGTAAGGCCCAATCCATTCTCTCGTGACTTGTGCCGGAATGTTCAAACCGCGATACTACGGCAACCATCTACCGGAAAAAGAAAGCTACAATATCTTCTCTGCGGTATGCCCTGCAATTCATAAGTTGATATTATCCGTCGTTACCAAAACAAGGACTCAGGGAACGAACGTCGGTAAAAGCAGGAGGGGACGAATCCCATTCTGAAGCCAACGCCTTCCACGTATCACAATAGGGCTGGCGTAAAACTTTCATAAAAGTGAGGGGTGTTAAGTGTCCCTCGGACCCTCTGTCCCTGAACCTTTGTAGATAAGACACAAGAAATAATTGCAAAATAATTTTCCATTTTGCAGATCTGTATTGATGGTGATTGGCGATCGCAAGTTGCACTGAATTGCAGGAACTTATATTGTGAGCGTCGATAACTCCATGTAACGTGGTCTCTGTTATTTATAGATTTAGTCCGGTACCACTTACATACGCCTGCGATGGCCCGGTTCCACTGTCGTTGAAAGCGATCGTCATGGACTCTTGTAATCTCAAACAACCAACAAAGACCTCAGTTGATCCTAATGATCTCCAAAAGTCCTAGCAACCTTAGATCCTACTGACTTCAGACTGTTCCCCCGGGCCCGAGACGCTTTGAGCGGATTTTGAACGGTCCCTGTTAAGGTCCGGTGTCCTCTGGAAATCCTCCGATCACTTCGCGAGCCACCTGACATCTGGCGACACCCCTCGGCATCTCGTGTCTGCTGCTGACCTCATGTGCTGGCCGCTGGTGAGCTCTGACTGACCTGTATGGAGCCTCGTGTGCTGCTGCACGTGACTGAGCTGCTTGAAGCGGCGGTCGCAGTAGGAGCACTTGTACGGCTTCTCGCCGGTGTGCACGCGGATGTGCTGCACCAGCTGGTGGTTGGAGGAGAAGGACTTGAGGCACTGCTGGCACTGGTGCGGCTTCACCTCGCTGCGGTGCATCTCGCGCGCGTGCAGCTGCATCGCCGACTTGTGCATGAAGATCTGCAACAACGGTTCGGCGGTCCGTCAGGCAGTGACACTCTGACTGCTCGATGGAAAAGGTTGGTGCTAAAAGTACCAACATTCCTAGTGAGAGCGCATCTTCTGCACGTGCAGCAAGCACACTCCATCGTCACGCAGGGCTCCGACTATAGATAAAATGTCGAAGGAAGTTCTTGAACGGAGGCATCCGGCGCAGTAGCGATGAACGGGTGTTTCAGCCTGCATACACATACATCCACATTGCGGTTTTCCTATATATATATATATATATATATATATATATATATATATATATATATATATATATAGGAAATTATATATTATATATATATATATATATATATGTTGCAACGCAACGGTATAACACATTCATGTCTTTGCACTCGTGTCCGTACCACGCACAGACATGCCCACGTCGGTTTTCTACCGCTAATATCGAAACGCGCGAGCAAAATGTCTGAAAAATAGGAATCACAGCAGGCAACCTTCCTAAATGATAGCCATTCCACACTTGAATCCATTCAAGTGTTTGGAATTAACAGAGAATATAAGTGCATTATGCGTATTACGTAGAACTGAACCACATCCATCGGCGCCACTTATCCAGCCGCATGACCAGGGAGATCGCGAGTTTGTGGTAAAAAGCCCCCCCCCCCCCCCCCCCCCCCCCTCCGCCGCTCCCGCTGCCCCCGTCCGACGGTTCCGGCAGGAGAGTGGGGGAGGGGGGGGGGCAGGAGGCAGGATACGACGTACAGCCAAGCCGGCGTGTCCGGCACATGCACGTAGGGAGGTGCGGATGTTCATGTGCGGTGGGTATTTCAGTCCCGGCTCAGCTCCCTCGCTGCTGGGCTAAGTCTTGCAGCACGGCTCCGCATGTGCCGTAGGTCACGAACACACCGGGCGGCTGGACGCCGGACCAGCGGTTATGCCCGAGGCCACGAACATGGGTGCAGCTAGCAGCCAGCGACGGATGTTCCCTGATGTGCTGTGTGTGGTGATCGGCGCAGTGACCAGGGCGCAGAGTCCGCTCTGCGTGCCGACGCCGGTCGCTGGACCATACCAGCCTCAGCCTGGCTGAGCCTCACACCCGCGCTCGCCGTGCCGGTGGCGGTCGCTGGACCAGACCAGCCTCAGCCTGGCTGAGCCTCACACCCGCGCTCGCCGTGCCGGCGGTCCGGTCGCTGGACCAGACCAGCCTCAGCCTGGCTGAGCCTCTACACCCGCGCTCGCCGTGCCGGCGGCCGGTCGCTGGACCAGACCAGCCTCAGCCTGGCTGAGCCTCAACCCGCGCTGCGGAAACAGCTTTTGCGCCCAGCACGGCTCGTGTCGGAGGATACCACGCCCCCGGTTGGTTGGTTGTTTTGATTAGAGCCGTTTCGACCAGAAATGATCACTTCAGAGCCATGGGATGAAGAAAATTGGTTAACGATGGGACAGGCTTGCATGCGCCTTGGGGGGCCAATCGCCCACCTTTAACCCGCGCATGCGCGCTGGGTACCCGGTCGGGGTCCCGCTTCCCAGGGGGCCTCTCGGCCCACTCGTAACTGAAGCATGCAGCCTGCGCTGGACAAGCGGGATGTCGCGAGGATGCATGATGAAGCAAGATAAAGGATAAGAGGGTCGGATGATAGGCTCAGGCGCCCTGCGTTAGTTGTCCCATGTGCTGTGCTGAGGAGGAGGCATCAACTCATGCAGTGTGTCACTTGTTTGGGTCATTGGTTTGGAGAGAAGGGTGGGCGAGTGGCTAAGCCTCTCTCACTTTTCTTAACATCTGTCTGTCAGCCATATCGCTATCGCTACGTATCTAGTTATTGCATTATCCCGATCAATATCCATCCTTACAACTTTATCGTGAATTGTGCAAAGGCATTGCTTGAGACCATCGTGCATTTTCTGCCCCCTCACATTTCTGACCTTGCTTACTTGAAATCGAGCCTGCCCTCATTGAAGCGGGCTTTGTCGGTGGTGACCAGCGGCGCAGCCGCCGCTTGCTACCCTGACCGCGCTGGGTAATGGGGGTTGTGTCGGACGACAATTGTCCGGTATAAGGTCACCTTCACTTCCGAGCTCTCCGCTGTCAGAAGGCAAGTGCAGGCTCTGAATAACATGCACCCTAAATGCACGTTGGAGACCACATCTCAACACAGGTTTACTCAAAGCAAGGTCTCTTTGCCGACGATGCGTAACGCTTGTATGAGCCGGCAGGCGTTGGGTTTTCGACTTCGTTGCTGTAGGAACATAAATATCGTGTGGAGAAATAATAAATAAAATAAGTGATGCGTGGAAAAATGCTGCGGGTAAAACGCGCGTAACGAAAAAAACATGAATAGCACAATCGCTCTAACGGATGAGACGGAATCGCAAAGCAGGTTTGCATTATAGTGACGGCTTGGCCATGATCGCAGGGAAATTTGAAGGTTGAGTTTAGAGCTGGTCTGTTTCCTTCCTGCCAAGGCTGCATACAGCGCAAAGGGCAAAGGGTGAAGGCTTAGTTTATTTTCGAGACGGCCTGTGTAAGGACGGTAAGTGTTGCCAGCGGCTGTCATCAATTACGCTGGAACGCTTTACCACGTCGTAATTCGATTAATTGATTCGGAAGAAGTGTCTGCATAAACATAGTGCCTGCAAACCATAATTACCGTCTTGATGGCCCGAGCAGCAGAGGCCCTGACAGGAGCCAAACAGCACGTGTTCCTGACCGTACGGGAATGCATAGGCACATGTTTTGCATTTATGCACCATCAAAGAGACATGAAGCAGTACAAAAGCGTGTTCTTCAGTCGTCCGATCCCGTAAACCGAGTGGGACATTGACATCACACAATGCGCAGGTCTTGGCGGGGGAGGGGAAGGGAGAGCGTGGGAGCGTAACTTAGCTGCTGTCCAGGACTTCCGCCTGCTAAGAGCACGGCCAGCTGTACACTGTAACAGCAGGTGAGACTTCACACGTCATAGCCCGTTAATGGCTCGTTAGAGTCGACGGGAGCAATTTATGAGATCGACAAGATCGGAGTTTTTGTATGTGCAATCTAATCAGACGGTGGTGCATAACTCATGACGTCACGAGCCAGGTATCTGGCAGGCGGAGGGGCGACCGGACAGGCATGCCCCGGACTGGTATGCCCCGGACTGGTATGCTCCGGACTGGTATGCCCCGGACTGATACGCCCCGGACTGGTATGCTCCGGACTGGTATGCCCCAGACTAGTTTGTCCCGGGCTGGTATGCCCCGGACTGGTATGCCCCGGACTGGTATGCCCCGATTCGTGCTGCTTTGGATCCGTGCCAGCTCTCCTGAATAATACCACAAACCGAAATAGCGCCGGACAGGTGATCAGGTGGGTGATAATCAGGTGGTAGGTGATCAGATGATCAGGTGATTGGGTGATCAGACCATCAGGTGACAGGTGATCAGGTGAACAGGTGGCAGATGATCAGGTGATTGGGCGATCAGGTGATCAGGTGATCAGGTGATCAAGCGATCAGGTGGCAGGTGATCAGGTGATCAGGTGACCAATGTTAGTCGACGCTACAGCTGTTTTTTTTTGAAGAGCGGCATGTTGCCGGTTGGTTCGACTCATCTCGCCTGGGTCGCCAAGAAATTCGCAAAGTTAGAATGTGTTTTGAACTCAAACCAGCAGGGACGGACGGAAACGGGCGCGAGGAACACCAAAACACATCCTCAGCGCCATACAACAAAAGCAGTTGATGTGGGTGAAGGGCTACCACAGAGCATGACCACGAAGAAATGGTCCGACAGTCAGTGAGCGGTTCAGCTGAGCCGCCAAGCCATAGGGAAGAAGACAAGAACCTGGCGAACTCCTCGTCGCCACCTCGTAAAACGAGGTGCAGTGGCTGGAGCACCATCGACGCCGCTTTTGTTCGCCTTTAATTTGGTGCCCTGACACCCTTTCAGCACTGCTGTACCCCAAGCGGTATTGCTTTGAAGTTTCACTGAAGCATTTCACCGAGTGAAGGTCTTTTTACCGTGTCAGGGGCGGCGTTCGCCTCAGCAGCCACCCGCTGAATTTATCATTAATTTTTCCTTTCAGATCCATTTATAACGCGTCTGATCGTGCATTTCTCTCTGGTTCAATTTAGTTTGCAGCGAAAAACCGTATTATCAGACACTATGCATGAGTTATGCGAATAATGATCCTGCTTCTTTGTCTCCGGCTAAGCCGAATGCAAAACTACGGAAATTTATTAAATGGACGGATTATAAATGACTACCGAGAATTAATGAGCCTTCAGGCGACTTTTTGTCAGCGTTTGCAAGATTTCACCGAGTAATTTTCAGACCAGCCACCATTCAAAAGATTTGTAAAGGGCCTGAGAACTTTGAACACCCAACGTTTGCTTAAGGCGATTTACGAGCTTGGGAAAACTCCCTTGTAGAGTTCTCCCTGCGTAACGGAGCGCCCTCGACTCGCCGCCGCGTGTATTAACTGAACACTGCAAGAGCTCCGCCAGCGGCGCAACGAACCGGCCAGTTTTGGGGTCTGCGTGCACACAAAGTCACATGTGAAGGTTGAGTTGCAGAATAGGATGCGTCAAGAACAGGCCTCACCACGGCGACCACACATGCGATGCTCGTCTTAATCAGGAGCAACGTCGGTGGTTCCACCATTACGCACCGTTTGCAGCCTTGCCTTCTGCAGACGAGCGCAAAAGAAAATTAGCAGTACGTAAACCTTAGGTTATTGACCATGGTCAAACCAAGCAGGATTGCAACTATACTGGACACCTGCCCAACTCTTCGTGCTCGGGGAATAGACAGCTGAATTGAAAAGCAGAAGGTCGAGTGTATCGAGATCGCTGGCCTTTGCATATCCTACCCGTAGCTCTAAAACAGAGGATCACAGCATGTGCAGAACCCGTAGG